TTGGTAATCTGGCATATATCCTCATACTTCTAGCACGTTCATTCAGAGTTCTATTCATGCGTTCTGCAACGCCATCCTATTGAGGTGTTTTTCGAATAGTCTTTTTCATTCTAATTTCACTTTCTGCACAATATTTCTTGAATTCATTGTCCTCATATTCCTCTCCATTATTTGATCTCAAGCACTTAATTTTCAGACCTGTTTAAGTCTCCACCAAAGTTTTCCACTTCTTAAAAGTAGTATAAACTTCAGATTTATGTTTTAGAAAATAAACCCATACATTTCTCATTGAGTCGTCGATAAAGGTAATATAGTATGATGATCCTCTAAGAGATAAAACTGGTACAGGTCCCCACACATCTATATGAACCAACTCCAATTTTTCTGACTTCGGTTTCCTACCATTGTTTGAAAAACTGACCCTCTTTTATTTGCCCAAGATGCAATCCTTACAAAAGTCAATGTCTACCGATTTCAAATCTGACAGTTTCTCCTTAGATGCACGTACCTTCATCTATTTTTTACTTATATGCCCAAGCCTTTGGTGCCACAGATTTGAGTCTTCCTTCTCACCAACAACTGCTATTGCATCTCTATTGTTCGTAGTCATGGAAAGGGTGCCTTCTTTTTGACCACGAGCAACAACTAAGGCTCCTTTGGTGATTTTTCACAAACCACCCATGAAGGTTACAACATGACCTTCATCATCAAGTTGTCCAACAGAAATCAAATTTCTTTTCAAACCAAACACATGTCTGACATTCTGTATCTTCCAAACAGATCCGTTTGGCAACCTGATTGTTACATCCCCTTTATCCACAATCTTCAAAGGTTCCATCAGGTAGATAAACCTTCCCGAAATCACCACCAATGTAATTGTCCATGATTTCCCTCTGTGACGTAAAATGAAATGATGCCCCAGAATCTAAAATCCAAGATTCAAGAGGGCTATCAATACTCAAGATCAAAGCATCATAAATCTCCTCTGTTGTAACATTAGCAGACTTCTAATTTTAATGTCCGACAATCTCCCTTTGAATGTCCCTTCTTTCCACAGTTCCAACAACTTCGTCCCTCTTCTGTTCTTGACTTGCTTCTGTGTTTGGATTTTGATCTATTGCAGTTCATGTTTTTTCCTACTAATCTTCTTCTGGCTTTTGTATTCAGGGCAGAACCTAATGTTTCCCCTAATTCCTCTTGCGAATTTCTTCACTCAGAATTAAATCTCAAATATCATTTAATTCAACTTTTTTTTTCTTGAAGAATTACTTACTGCCGTTACTGTACCATTCCAACCTTTTGGCAAACTAGATAGAAGAATCAAAGCCCTAACCTCACCATCAAATTCGATAGATACAAAACTCAATTGTATTACTACAATATTGAATTGGTTCAGATGCTCAGCCACCAAAACACTTTCTGTCATCCTCAGATTAAATAATCTACGCATCAAATAAACTTTATTTGAGGCAGAGGGTTTTTTATATATGTTTGAGAATGCCACCATGAGACGCGTTATAATCTTCTCATTCGCTATGTTAAACACAATGTTACGAAACAATGTTAGTCGAATAACACCTAGCGCTTGGCGATCAAGAAGAGTCCACTCATCATCCTTCATCTTTTCTAGTTTCGTCCCTTAAAAGGGCTCATACATTTTTTTTTGATACAGATAGTCTTCAATCTGCATCTTCCAAAAGCCGAAATCTGTGCCCTTGAATTTATCGATTCTAACCTTTTCGTCTATAGCCATCGCTCCTACTCGAACCAATGCTCTGATACCAATTATTAGGAATTGACCCTTCTTAACCAAAATTGGTGAGACATGAAATAACAAACAAGAAAGAAATTAACGAATCAGACAAATCACACACATAAGAACACAAGAATTTACGTGGTTCACCCCAAAATAGGGTTACATCCACAGCTGCTGTGGTTTCCACTATGATCAGAAAAATACAACTCTCTCTTTTTAACCTAAAAGAGACTCCCCCTCATCTATTTATAAGTATAGAATTAGGGTTATATGGAAGCATATGAGAATTACGAAAGTATCCAAAAAAGTGAACAGTACTTATCAGGGTCCACCGACCCAATAAGAAATTAGATAAAATATAGTTATATTTGATTCACATTTCACCTACCATTTTTTTTCCCCAAATTTTTACATAAATTCATGAATCAAATATAATATAAAGTTGGGTACATTACTTTTTCAAATTTCTTTATCTTTTTTTTTTAATTTTGAATAAATATTACTTTTTAAAGTTGTGTATTACAAATTCTTATCACACACGTCTCTCCATATAATAATATTGAAATTTGTTTTAATTGCTATCTCAAATATTAGTCATAGAGTAAAAAAAGAAATGTGTAGGTCTTAAAGTAAAAATTTTATGTTAAAATTTGTTCAAATGTAATTCTCTTAATATTTACAAATATTTTTTATTGATTGATAAAAAGTACCGTAAACATAAAGATTTTTTTTTTTAATGATATTGAGTTATTAAAATGTGATGTATTATAGGCTTAAACCAATAATTGTTGGAAAAAAAATCGACTCGAATTAGATTTTCTAGGCTCATTTTTAATATTTAATCCAATTTTGGAACCCCCAAACTAACTTATACCGGTCACGAATCGATAAAGACAATTTTTAATGATTAGCATAAATATTGAGTCAACTAGCTTATAGCTCACTTCTAATATTTAGTCAAATACCACAAGTCAATCTTAATCTATTTTCAAGAGAAAGTTATGACATAAAACAATTTATAATTTTGAGTAAACAATTTTTTAAGTTTTACAAAATAAGAAAAAAATAGTATATTAACAAATATAATTAACCACTGTCACATGGTAACTTCAAATTACGAAATTTATAAAACGAAATGTATTTATATTTTATCGTAAATATAATTTTTGTAATTTGTTATTTAATTTTTACCAATTGAATTATGACATGTAATTTTTTATTAAATTTATAACACACAATTAATGACATCAGAATAAAAATCTTCTCTTTTATGTAACTCTGATAAAAATGAATAAAATTTACTTGATTATAAATTATTTTTACTACATATTTTTATATAATTATTTTAATTTAGAAACTAATTTTTGATTATTTATTATATCCATGCATAATACGAGTAATATGCTAGTATGTACTTAAATATAAATTACAAATACACTTTCTAATATTTATTTAAAATATAATTTTTCTCCAATGGTTCTAAATTACATATCGCTCTTTAAAATTTTTAATTTCATAATAAATGTCTTCATTTATTAATAAATTATTAAGCCAATTAATAGTTCTTAATGACGTCATAAATTTATTTTAATTAATAAGTCAAATAATTTTATTATTATATAAGAGAGCAGTTACAAATTTTATTTTTTTAATTAATTTATTAAACAAAAAATTCTGATAAATGGATATTTATAATTTTGCAAACCACAAGAGACAATCTATATTTTAAATAAAACTTAATAGGTGTATTTATAATTTACCCTAAACTTAAAATATTTAATGAAAAAAAAACACACAACATTCAATTAGTACCTACCCATTAATGAGCGTTTGGAATGAGTTAAATTGCGTATATATCTAACATTTAGGCTCTATTTGGTTGGAGAATTTAATAAGAAAAGAAGAATAGAAAGAAAATGAGAAGGAATTGATAGGATTAGATTTCCAAGTTATGTTTGATTAAGTTGAGAAATGGAGAAAGAAAAGAGTCTAATGATGTGTTTAGTTTATGAATTTGAGAAAGAATTTAGAAAGAGAAATAAAAAATATAGGTGAAATGTGTATAAAACATAATTACATTACACTTATATTTCACATATCATATCATCCTTCATCTTTTCTAGTTTCCCTTTTCAAATTCCTTTCTAAATCCATAATACAAAAAGTGGGGATTGTATTTACTTCTCATTTTCTTTTCCCTTATATTTTCTATTTTAAACAAAAAGTAAAATCGTATTTCTCGTTCCTTTTTATTCTTGTCACTAAATCCACCTACCAATTATAGTCTTAGCACTATATTGATTTTTTAATAGAAGTCTCTCTCTCCCAAAACTTAAATCAAGGAAATATTATTCTCATTTACATGAATGATCTACATAAATATATTTTTTTAATTTTTTACAAAAAAAAAATGTATATATATATACATAAATAATATGACAGAAAAAATAAAAGATAAAAAGATAACTATTATAAGGGATATCAGGTAACCCCATAATTCCATTGTCAATGTCATTCATGTGTTCGCTTTGCTTTGCTTTTCTTATGATTCTTTATTATCTAAAATAATTAAAAATTGTGATCTCAACGAATTTTTTCACTCTTCATTATTCTAGAAAAATAAGTTATCATAGGGGGAAGTGTGGATATCAAATTCCAATTCTGTTTGAAAAAACAATTATTTTTAAAACACTACAAAAAAATTACTTTTTTGCGACGAAACCGTCTCAAAAGGTTTTTTGCAACGGTAACTGGCCTTTTGCGACGGCAAATGGGGGGGTCACAACAAAGGGAGTTGCAAAAGGGTTTTAGCGACAGTATAATGCCGTCGCAAAAAAAGGCGATGGCAAAAATACCTTTTTGCGACGGAAAATCTAAGTTTTTTGAGACGGCACTGTGTTGCCGTCGCTAAAAGGGTTATTTGCGATGGCACAAATACCGTCGCTAAAGGTTTATTTGAGACAGCACTTGATGTTGTCGCTAAAGTACTATTGGTGACAGCAAATAACACCGTCGCTAAAAATCTTTCTTTTCAACCAAATGCCCTATCTTTTGCGATAGCATTACTGCCGTCGCAAAAAACCCTGGTTCTATTTTTCTTTTTGAGACGGTGTGTGTGCTGCCGTCTCAAAAAAAAAAAAAAAAACTGTAATAAAATTATTAAAAATATGAAAATGACATGTATTAAATGAAAAATAACTAAAAAAAATCAATAATTACATAATAATATAAAAAGTCCAGTATATAAATAAAAATTCATCCATAATTAAAATATTCTTCCATTCATAACAATACATTAGCAAAATTATCCCAATATATAATGTTGCATAATACATACATAATGTTGTTCACAAATCTAAATAACGTAAATTAAAAACAAAAGTTTTCATCATGATTCTTCTGTGGGTTAATATTTTAATCTTTACACACCTGCATTCCACAAGAAGCAAACTGCTACTCCGGAAATATCTGAAAATAACAAAATAAAAATAATTAATCACAATATAATTGTGTTAATATTTTAATTACAAAAAAACATAAAAAATTAACTACTATATATATAAAAAAATTGGCAGAATAAGGATTCATACTTTTGTTGCAGCCAAAGTTTCTAGGAATATTTATTTATTTATTTTTGACTCACGACTCTGATGGCATTAAAACTGATTGTTTTGAGGAAAGAACATTATGTCCTTACATGTCACAATTTATAACAATTTCTTTTAACAATGTGAGATATGGGTTGGCAAAAATTAGATCATGAATAGATTGCTTCCCATCTCTGTCTATCTTCTTCGGGTTTGGGTTTTCTTATCTGGTGGATTATTAGTCTAAATCTCTTACATTGATATAAATCCTGAAAGTTCACCCTATTTGATTTGTTTTCTCATCTTATGACAACTGATCCATTGCACTATAATTTGTACATTTTGTACAGTATTGCTATTCACATGACAACAACATATTAATTTCAAAAGCATTCATATGCCTGTTCCTAAATTCTTAACTATCAACAACACAACAAATTTATGAAGAGCCAAAGTTTTGTTTCTGGTGTTTGAAACTTGAACATTATGTTTCATACTAGTGTTTTTAATTTATTTATAAAAAATATAATAATTATGTTTGGATTCTGTTTCATTTCAAAATATACATGGAAAACAGGTGATTGCATGCTTCAATATTACTGTTTTCTGTTTACTTAGAGCAGATACTGATCATTGGCTTATTTGTGACAGGATAATGTGTTTATAATGTGCTTATTTGGAGTCACGTCTAACCGGCTCTAACTCCCAAACTGGGAACCCGATTGGAGTCTCGTCTTCTCTCACAAGTCTCTCGTGCCTAGGCAGTCGTGTGTGCCAAGTTTCATGCTAAACCGACGCCGTTTGGTGATTTTGGAGCGTCAACACCTCGAATTCAAGTTTCTTAAGGAACTAGTTTGCCTAGAGTGATATCCGACTCTAACTCCCAAACCAGGAACCCGATTCGAGCCCCGTCTTCTCCCATAAGTCTCTCGTGCCTAGGCGGTCGTGTGTGTCAAGTTTTGTGCCAATCCGACCTCGTTTGGCGATTTTGGGGCGTCAACACCTCGAATTCAAGTTTCTTAAGGAACTAGTTTGCCTAGAGTAATATCCAACTCTAACTCTCAAACCGGGAACCCGATTCAAACCCCGTCTTCTCCCACAAGTCTCTCGTACCTAAGCGGCTGTGTATGCCAAGTTTCATACCAATCCAACCCCGTTTGGTGATTTTTGGGCGTCAACACCTCGAATTCAAGTTTTTTAAGGAACTAGTTTGCTTAGAGTGATATTCGACTCTATCTCCCAAACCGGGAACCCGATTCGAGCCCCGTCTTCTCCCACAAGTCTCTCGTGCCTAGGCGGTCATGTGTGCCAAGTTTTGTGTTAAACCGATGCCATTTGGTGATTTTGGGGCATCAACACCCCAAATTCAAGTTTCTTAAAGAACTAGTTAGCCTAGACCGAAATCCGGCTCTAACTCCCAAACCGGGAACCCTATTCGAGCCTCGTCTTCTCCCACAAGTCTATCGTACCTAGGCGGCCGTGTGTGCCAAGTTTCGTGCTAAACCGACGTCGTTTGGTGATTTTGGGGTGTCAACACCTCGAATTCAAGTTTCTTAAAGAACTAGTTTGCCTAAAATGAAATCCGGCTCTAACTCCCAATTCGGGAACCCGATTTGAGTCACGTCTTCTCCCACAAGTCTCTTGTGCCTAGGCGGTCGTGTGTGCCAAGTTTCGTGCTAAACCGACGTCGTTTGGTGATTTTGGGGCGTCAACACCTCAAATTCAGGTTTCTTAAGGAACTAGTTTGCCTAGAGTGAAATCCGGTTCTAACTCCCAAACCGAGAACCCGATTCGAGCCCCGTCTTCTCCCATAAGTCTCTCGTGCCTAGGGGGTCGTGTGTGTCAAGTTTTGTGCCAATTCGACCCCGTTTGGTGATTTTGGGGCGTCAACACCTCGAATTCAAGTTTCTTAAGGAACTAGTTTGCCTAAAGTGAAATCCGGCTCTAACTCCCAAACCGGGTCACATCTATTGTCTAATGCTTCTCCAACAGTAATGCCAAGCAAAGAAAAGTTATTCAAGCCCAGATCAACGATTCAACCAAAGTTTCATAGCAAAACCGTTGAAATTTGTTATGTTATTTAGACAACAAGATTTCAAGTGTTAGATAATTTAGACAACAAGACATGGCGGGTATCCATGTTCATTCAGCATATGAAGTAGCCAAACATTTAAAGCATGAGCAACAAACTCGTACATCTTGAATCACTAATGAACTTTATTGAAGTTATTCTACCAGATATCTTTGCATGCTTTAGTATTTCAATCAGAAAATTATAGCAGAAGTGCTACTTCAAAAAGAAGGCCAGCTCACTAGTGTGAAAATTCAAATCATCACAGAACATATCCAATAATATCTACTACATCCAAAGAAGGCCAACTCACTTGTGGGTAAAGATCACAGGTCCCCAACTCTTTCACTACCAAAGGTAATCTTTCTCTACCAGTAACCTGAGAATAAAAAAGCACAGTGAATTTCAATATCACCTTGAGCAGAAATCATTGTAGTTTTATTCAGAAAAAGATAAGAACAAAATTGAATCAAACCTCATAATCTACACCAACACTCCTAATATTAACAGTCTGAATTTCATTGTGCTTAGCCCATATGATTTTTCCACTATTGTCCATACTAGCTACAGGTTCCTCTCGACCAATTTTTACCATAATGGTTCCTTCGTCATAACCAATTACAACCCTATCCAGAGAATACAACGGCAATAGAAAACGAAGTTGCAGAAAGAGAAGTGTTAAACACATTCAAGGATACATTCAACAAATTTAGCAAGAGTAGTTAAATTTTCTTTCTTGAAATTGCAATATTCTATTCAATAAAAGCAATAACTCAATTTAACCACAACTACTTCCAACTTTAATTATTGGTTAATTAGACAATTTAAGCATGACTTCTTTCCATCCCTTCATGCCTTAAATCCCAGACTCTGACATCCAAAGGATAACCACATTAAAGTTTGTAAAAAAAACAAACTCACGAATCTACTAGTAAGGAATCTGAACCAGTAATTATAATGGGAAGTTCAGGGTGAAACTGAACAGTTGAAACGTTGTGGGTGTGCCCGTCTAGTGTCTGGACACAACTTTTGGTTTGATAGTCCCACACCTGTTTTCATAGAATATAGCCAAAAATATTTTCACATTGTACACGTACATGAACCCAACAAGGAAGAAGAAGAAAAAGGAAAGCAGGCAGCAAACCTTTGCATTATGATCATCAGAACCAATTATAAGATAAGGCTTATCACCACCTGTGAAGTAATCAACACAATTTACCCCTTTCAAATGGGCATCCAATGTAAAATTTGGGTCAGCAGAGCCAAGATTCCAAATCTGAAAAAAGAAAAAAGGGAAAACAAAAACAAAGTTATCAATGTGTGCATGTGCTTTATACCAAATTATATTAAATTGTAGTTAACAAGTTAGTAATAGACAATCCAATTCATACCTTTATAGTGCAATCAAGAGATGCACTTGCAAATGTGTTGGTGTCTTTCGGATTAAATGTCACTTGCATAACATAATGAGAATGACCCTAAAAAATTTGAGTACACACCCAGCCCTTCTCCTAATCCCAAAGCTTTATAAGCATGTCATCAGACGATGACATCACATATGGAAGCATAGGATGAACAGCCATACACCTAATATAATCCGTGTGTGCCTCAAATACTTTGACCTTATCCATTGTATTGTAGTTGTAAACACGAATATACATGTCATCAGCACCAGCAACAACCCATTGTTTGCGCACAATGAACTTTGCTGATCTAACTACAAACCCATAGAGAAGATATCAGAGCACAGTAAAGCCCACATCATTTAGTGATGTCACCTGCAAATTCCAGAAATGTATCCTGATATACATACTTACTAAGCAATAATATATTGAAATGAATATTCTAAAAAGAAATGTATTCTGATAAACATGATAAGCAATATTACATTGAAATGAATATTCTAAAAAGAACACATGGATCTTTTGTAGATTTACATTACCCTCTAGTTGACACTGATTTTCTCTGCTCAGCCTTCTCAAGTTCTTCCTTTAGAGAAGCTTGCAATTTTTCAGCAACAACCTTAGCTTCTTTTTCTCTTCTTTGACACTCAATTGCATCCTAGTTTTAAATCAAACAAATTAAAAATGGGACAAAGGAAAAAAAAGAACAACACATATCGCATAGAGAACTAGGCCATGATTAGCTATCTCACCAACTTCTCTAATTCTTCCTTTGCCAGATTTTCTTGCAACAAAGTAGTTTTCGCCGTCAACTCAGTAATAAGTAAATTTAATTCCACCTCCATTTTTTTTTTCATAGCCATCTCTGAAAGAACATGAAGTACATTAGAAGATTAATTTCTCATTAGAGTTTTGTGAAAACTTAAGGTGCAAAATTTACCTGTTTCTGTGCATTTACCTATTACATAGCTTTTCCTTTTCCTTGATATGGCCTTCTTCAACTTCTTGAAACCACTTTAAACAGAGCTTAAGTTTTCTTATGTAGTCATTAATTTGTTCCATTTTCCCCTATCAATTCAGAACACGTATAACAATATAACAAAGACAAAAAACAAACAAACAGCAACAAAAAAGCACAAAACAAATCAATTTAACACTCTGTTTGGTCAGTGAGAAAGTGTAAAAGTATTTCAGAATAAGCATTGATACCTCTCACATCTGTTATTATCTGTTCTATCTATCTATCTACTCTATTCTATCTATTATGTCATATAAAACACACAACTCACTTTTGGAAGCTTTGTCACACAATTTTGATTTTCCAAAAAATATCCATAGAATCGCTAACTGAATGAAGAAGCATACCACATTCAGTAAATAACTGCTAATCAATTTTCAAACCAATCCATATTTCTCATTCAACCAACCATCCAAGAAACTAGATATAAAGTTGCACACGTGTACCGTGCAGACATAGCATGTGCACCCACCACTAGTCATTCATTATGACCACAATGAAACAAAGCCCCCCAAAATCTAGAACAGAAAAATAAATATGGGTCAGTTACACTTTTCACCCTTATAGTTTGACTCAAAATTCACTTTCATCTCTATAGTTTTAATTTGAACAATTCAATCCCTACACTTTAAATCCAATTTCAATTTGATATTTCTATCCAAATTTTTATTAATTTTTCCTATGTATACACCTTAGAAGACTAACAAGTGTACCAAAATCATTAATTGTAACCTCTGACTTGAACAAAATGACCAAATTGAAACTAAATTTAACGTATAGCGACCAAACTGTTTAATTTGAAACAATAATATATCAATAATTCATTGGTACATCAAAAGCTTTTATTCTTTTCTTTCTACTAAAATCAAAAGGAAAAGACAATGATGAATGTGTATATATGTTAGAATCTTCTTATTATTTGTTTCCCTAGTTAGATTATTCTGTAATTCCTTAATCAGTGTAATTCCTTGATTTGTGCCTTTGGGCTCTCTTTGTAACTGTTGGTTGATTTATATAAAGGGAGTGATATCAGTATCACTCTCAACATCGATTAAATCTCAAATCAATCATGGTATCAAAGTCTTAGGGTTCTAAACCTAGCACCCATCATTGTCTCATCATCACCCAACACCAATCAAAGAGCACCGACTACAACCTAATCAATTTCGGTGTCTAACTATCTCTTGCGACTCATTGTACTTGTTTTTCGGCTGCTCCTTATGCCCTAGGAGGGATCGCAACACTCATTAGAGTCCTTCTGATCTTTGTCGCTTGTCTCCTAGGCCTCTGGTTGGTTCGTGATTCACCCTAGGTCATCTGACTCTGCTTTGTGACTCTACTTCGCTGCTCCCTTGCTGCTAGCCGTCGTCGATCACCGTTGTTGTCTGTCACCGTCATTGAATTTTGGCTCAAGGGTTTTGGGGATTTTGCTTCAAAATGGATTTAGGGAATTTTTTTTTTTTTTTTTTTTGATCAGATGGTTTTGGGGATTTTGGTTTTAGAGATTTTAGGGATTTTGGGTTGGTTCATAAAGGTTTGGGGATTTTAGGGAAACACATGACCGCGAATAGGTTAAAATGAGCGGGATTGAAAAAATTTCATTACTTTTTGTGACGACGTACTTAAACCGTCACAAATGATGAATCCTATCAAATAAAACGACGCCGTTTTAACAAGGCTTTTGCGATAGTAAATGTTTCCGTCTCAAAAAAAATATTTTGCGACGGTACATCAGGCGTCGCAAATGTTTTATGTTTTTTTTGTGATATATTCATTAGCGACGGAGTCACCACCGTCGCAAAAGACTATTTTTTGAGACGGTTTGAAAATGCCGTCGCAAAAGACCATTTTTTGAGACGGTTTGAAAACGCCGTCGCAAAAGACCATTTTTTGTGACGGTACCTATACCGTCTAAAAAATTCCGTGTTATTTGAGTTGTTTTCTTGTAGTGAAATAAAATAAAATTAAAAAAAAATTAGACTGAGTAAAAGCAATTATTTGTCAGAGAGGTAATCAGTAATCATATTCTTATTTTATTCTTTTTTATCTATTAAAATCTTACACATTTCAAATCACATATTCTTATTTTATTCTTATTTCATTCACAATTCTCATCATAAAAACATAGTCAAAGAGTACTATTTGGATTAAAATAAATCATGTCAGAATTAGTTCAATTGATCACCCATATATGCTTATATCTGAAAGGTTAAGAGATTTTTAAAATGTAAAGGTTGATAGTTTCTGTTTAATTATTATCTGAAAAGTTAAGGGGCCTTTAAAATGTAAAAGTTGATGCTTTCTCTTCAATTATGATATTTTGTAGATCAAATTTATTATATTAAAAGTTAAACATATTTTATCAAATTAAAAATAAAAATGAAGGGAGAAGTCCACGCATAAGACAGAAAACAAGTGGAGAGAAAACAGCAACCTACCTTGCCATAGACTACTCATTTAAAATTTACTATAACATTTCAGTAGACTACTCATTTAAAATAGACTACAACATTTTTTTTATTTTTATGCTTTACTCATTATAAGCCTATAAATAGACTACTCGTCTAATAATAATTTCAGATCAATATCGGTGCGATATTTCTTTTTTCTATCTTACCTCTAATCTAACAACCTTCTATCATCTTAGGAACACAACATTTGATGGGTTATCAGCACTATTGTTGTGCCCATGGGGTATTTCACTGTCAAGCTTGTGGTTGGAGACCACAACCACCACGATGTCCGCCTCCTCCACGATGTCAACCACCTCCGCCACGATGTCCACCGCGATGTCCACCACCTCCGCCACGATGTCCACCACCTCCTGTGTGTCAGGCCCATCACTGGGTAAATTGTCCTTATTGTTTTCGACGATGCCGTTAGATCGTTGTGCCTATTATCCTTTCCACCTCTCCTCTTCTTCTCTTTTGCACCATGCCTTTCTTATTAATAGAGTCAATGTCCTTTTATTGATGCTTTTTTTTTTTGTATTTTTTATTTACGCCAATGTTTTTTTTTTTTTGGTTCACAAGAGAGAGAAGAAAAAAAAATCTACTATTGGTGGCTTGTTTTAATTTCTATGTTGGAATAAATATGTTTCGTGTGTATTTTCTAGCAAAATTCACACAGATTCTCTAGTATGTACTATGTATGGCATGTGGCAAGAATCTGTACTCTTTTTTTTTCTTTTTTTTTCAATGTACTGTTTTATATATTATAATGAAAGAAGTAAAAAATGGGTGGCATATAATTTTATTTATTTATTTTTACTTCAAAGTGCTTCATAAATGTTTTAACAGCAAATTGTGTTTGGATTGTGTTTGAAACAAATGTTTGAGTTTGATATTTTTATTTAAAGATAAAAACTTATATTTCATTTTTTTTTCCCTTCTATAAATGCCAACCTTGAATAATCCAAACATAACCTTATACATCTTAGAAAAATGAACTACGGTTTCCCATCTTTCCGTGGGCTTAGAAAGCCCATAATCCAACTTTTAAAATTTGGACCAATATGATTGCCATAAGACCCCAGCCCAATGGCCTTTAGACATTACTAAAACCCACGTTGTGGAGGATGGTGCAACTCCCACTCTACTGGGCCTGGGCCTGGCCCTAGATTGCAATCGATCTCTTCTCATGTCTTTCCCTCTTCTACCTTGCCTTTAGAATTTGTCTAATATGTCCGAGTCCGACTTACTAGGTGACTGTATATTCATCTAATAATAAAATGATACATAATTATTTTGCTTAAAATATAAGAGAAAAAAGTTGAAAGTAGTTGGAATAGATAGAGGACATATAAAAATTTGATCTTTTTTTTTTGGGTAAAAAAAAAAAAAATTTTGATCTTGTTACTTTATAATTTGACAAAATTTAGTTTATAATAAAAATACATATATCACCTTGTCTATTGAAGAAAATATAAAAAATATTAAATAAAATATAAAGTTATAATACCAAATAAAAATTAAACTAACTACAACAAAGTATCCCTCAAACATTACTTTTTTTTGCAGTTTTAGATGTAAAATCACTGATTAAGCATTGATAATCTATCAGAGCCCTTAATTTTAGATTAGTCGGATCATATCCCTTTTTTTTTGGGCTTACTAAAAATACAATAGGATTCACAAAAAAAATAAAATAAAAAATAAGACCCATATTGCCTGAGAAAATTTTATCTGATTTTGAATTGATTTATATATTTTTAAATTATGTATTTATAAGATCAAAACTACCACATGAGCTATTCATTGATGAACATCACAAAACTGATGTAAAATTGTACATTGGAAAAAACAGAGAGCATAGAAAGGCTCATATGAATTTAATAAGATGAAAATAATAAGAATAAACTACGAGTAATGCTAGAGACTCCAAATATTCTACTAAAAATTTTACCAAATGTCTCTGTGGGACCCATAGGGGATGTAAAATATTTGTAATTTAAAATTTTAAAAATAAATGAAATCTTCAATTTCAAATTCCATCCATAGGGGATGTTTAGCATGTTTTGAGCTTATTAATTAATAAATAAAAGTGGGCCCAGTGTCCTTTTGAATTGTATTGATAAATTGTTAAAGATTTAAAACCAATTAAAGCCCCAACTCAGTATTCAACTTAATGACTAAACTAACTTGGGGATTAATCATACACTAACAAGGCCCAATTATTTGAAGATCCTAATCATGTATAGTGAAAAGCAACTAATCTTAGTTTCCCATTAATAATGACTTCTATTTTGTAACTAAATAAGCCAGATTGTAATGTTTAGATTTTAAAATTTGTAAAGGTAAAATAAAATTTTATATGCATCGAGATGAAAAATTTGTAATGGTTTTTTGAAAAATATTCATTCATTCTCTTCTTATTTTCCTAACTATTCAAAAAAGTAGAGAATAATTTATGTTCAATATCATTTTCTTTTTGATGTTTAGTTTTTATTATTATTATTATTATTATTTTAATTAGAAGTTTGATATAGTTTCAGTTTTTGTGTGAAAATAATTTTCAAAAAATCATGAAACAACTTAAAAGTGTTTCTTAAAAATTTCTTGACAATAGTTTTTACAAATAATTTATAAAACAAGTTTTGCTTGATCTATCATTGAGAACATAATCTTACTTTTGGAAAAATGAAGCCAAACACGGCTTTATCTTCTTTAACTTTATCTTATTTTATGATTTTTTGTCTTTTTCTTTTCTTTTCCATTCGTAAAAATTCAAAATTTGAAAATAGCATTTGAATCAGACAAAACACACATTCAAGAAGGGAGAGAGACAATCTCAAAATTTGAGTTTTAGGGATTGAACTCTATCCGTAGAATCTCGAGAGACCGATAAAATATTTTATATAATATGAATATTTCTTCATGGAATTCATGTGATAGGCTTATGAAAAAATTATTAAAAAAAGTTAAATTTGACTATTATAATAAAATAAATTTTTAGATTTTAATTTTTAAAATTTAAATTCTAATTTATTTATTTTTTTTAATTTAAATCATTTGTCTATTTTTTGTTAAGTAAAATCAACGAAAAAATAGTATTTTAATCATTAAATTTAATAAAAAAAAATATTTTAGACATTTTATATACACGTACATTGAATTTATTGACTAAAATACTTTTTTTCGTTATTTTTACTTAATGAAAATAGACAAATAATTTAAATTAAAAAAATTAAAATATTAGAGTTTAAATTGATA